CAAAAGAAAGAATGCTTAAGTAACCAATAAGAACTGACCTTAAATATATATATATATATATATGTATGTATATATATATATATATATATGTATGTATATGTTTTTAGTCAAGCCTTTAGACCTAACTTTATGAACTGCACTTTTCAAAAAGTCTGTGTCTTAAGAAATGAGACAGACATACGCTCTAGATCACAAGGCTAAAGGGACCTTGTTAAATTCAGCAAGTATAATGGTGCACACCTGTAATCCCAGCTACCTGGAAGACCGAGGCAGAAGGATCACAAATTCAAGGCCAGCCTGGGCAATTTTAGCAAGGGCTTATCTCAAAACAGGCCCGAGAGTCAGGTGTGGCAGTGCATGCGGATCACAAGCTCAAGCACAGCCCAGGCAATTTAGCAAGACTCTGTCTTAAAATTTAAAAAGCCAAAGGATATAGCTTGGTGTGAAGGCCATGAGTTCAATTTTCAGTACTGCAATGAATGAATGAATGAATGAATGAGGCTGAAGACGCAGCTCCCTGGGAGAGCGCCTCAGGGTTCAATTCTCAGGCCATACCTCCCAAAAAAACCTTAATGTTCAAATGCTCCAACTATTTAATATAAAAATGTTCACTGAACATTCACTGTTTTAAGTGCTTTCAGTATACTAATTCACACCCCCTCACAACCACTACATGAGGAAGACATCCTATTACCATGCCATTTTGGAAATTAAAAACAAAACAAAACAAAACAAACAAAAAAAACAGCAGCACAGAATTTACAGTAATTTGGTCACAATCACACAGACTTTTAAGTAGTATCACTCAAATTTCTCTGTCTTTCTTTCTTTACTGGGGATCAAACTTGGGACCTTGCGCTTATGAGGCAGGCAGCAGCACCACTGAGCTGATTTCCTATTTTAAAAGCTGTTCTCATAACGTATAGGGCAGCACAAAATCAATGACAAGGTATTGTTTCCAAAATGTGACCTGTAACTTACTACCATTTTACACAATGATCACCAAAGAGCTGCTGGTAGGAAGTAAAGGAGGCATTAGAGAAATGTGTGATTGTGGTCTTCTAACTGCCCAGTTAGGTCAAACTTAGGTTACCAAGACTGACTTTACTTCAAACCAGTCACAAGCTGGGGGATCTCAGGTTTTATATCAGAAAAGGATAGAAATCAAAGAAGACGTGCACAGGGTGAGGTGTGTGAGCATCCAAATGCATGACATTTGTGCTCTCCTGTGGAGTCGGGTCAAATCACTCTCCTCGCACATCTGTGTGACTACAGCACAAAGAAAGAGTACTGTCAGCCAGAAAAGCTCTCTGAGCCTGTGTGTCCACAGTTTTCTTATTGGTGATTCATTACATTTGCAAAATTGAATTACTGGCTAGAGCTTGGTCTCAGTCTCTAAGCTCATCTCCCTAAATGTTGGGCGCTGTATTGGGCTCAAAGCCCCAACTTTCCAATCTCACGGTTAGTCTTTCAAGGTTCCTTATTATTTACTATAAACTATCTGAAGGTCCACCCTGAGTCAAAGAAAAGACTTCTCAGAAAATCTGAAGAATAACACAAATGTTGGGTGGCTGGCATATGCCTGAAATCCCATACCTGAAGGAGAGGGGAGTTAAGACAGGAGGATCACCATGAGTTTGAGGCCAGAGGGGTAACACAGTGAGTTCAAGGCTAGCCTGAACCACACAGTGAGACCTTGTCTCAAGAAAACCAAAAAATTAAAATAAATTAGACAGAGAGTACATCCTAGGAGTTAGAACAAAGGCCAGCCAAGCTCTTTGTTTTACAACAGTCGTTAACTCTGCTTTCACAGGGGTGGCTATGGACCAAGACACATAATAATTTATTTTTCAATTATTCTTCAAAAGTTTTTTGGCTTAAAACATTGACAAACATGCTAAACTTGAATTAACATGCTAACAATATTGTCTTGTTTTATTTATTTATTTTTGGAGGGGGGTGCTGAGACAGGGTCTATGTAGTTCAGGCTGGCCTCGAATTCATGGCAATCCCCGTCTTAGCCTCCTGAGTGCTGGGATTACCACCATGCACCACCACGCCTGGTTGTCTTGTTTTTACAGTAATAAAGAAGCTGTAATATATTACACAATACAGTAATAATTTATAACTATTTAAATATAATTGGTTTCCCTTGTAATCCTGTGTACTGTATGCAGAAACACTCTGAACAGTTATCTATGAATTTCATGAGAATGACCAAAAAAGGGTCCATGACATAACCACCTCTGCCTAAAAGCATATGCAAGCAATAGTCCTCGGCCCTTCGCAGGCTTGTGAGGGCCATCTGCAGGCATCAATGTAAAGAATGGCCAATTAGGTAATAAGACTAGTAGTTTAGAGCATCTCCCCGTCGGCTACAAAAATAAAAATAAAACTTAAACAGACACCCCTAGGAAAAACTACCCGGAATCAAGAGTTTCTTATGGAAATACTGTAGCTAATTCCAGGTCAGGAAAGGAAATATACAAGGAGCATGGAACAACCTATCACAGCAGAAGGAAGCTATAAGACTACTAGAGTTTTATCATAGAGACAAAGAGGATTCTTTCACACTTTCTCAACTTTCACATGTGAATGAAAATTTCCATGACAAAAAGTTGAACATACACCAAATATGTTTGAAGACATCAAAGAACTTAAAAGTACAGCACGACAGAGGCAGGACCAAGGGAGAGAAAACATGTAGTTGGAATCACTTTTATCCCTGAGAGTAACTGCCAAATGTTTATAGGCAGCTGAGAGGTCAACAGCTCAGCAAGGATACCAGACAAGGACTGGACCCAGAGACTACCAAGGAAGGGATGGGGGGGGGCGCTGATCAACCCATTTTATCCTCAGTTGGAATCCTGAACTGATGCATTGAGGAGCTAGGGAAAGTGGGAAACATTAG